TATATATAGTATTCAATCTATTTATAATATATAATATATGAATATTATATGTGTGCGTGTGTGTATATGTATGTGTATATATATGTGTGTGTGTGTGTGTATATATATTATATATAATATTCAATCTATTTATAATATATAATAATACAATATTATATATAGTATTCAATCTATTTATAATATATAATATATGAATATTATATGTGTGCGTGTGTGTATATGTATGTGTATATATATGTGTGTGTGTGTGTGTATATATATATATATATATATATATATATATATAACCTGAATAATGTCTAATAATTATATTATTAATTATTATAGAATTATCATTATACATAATTATAATAGAATAGAATTAAAAATTTCATATACTTTTATTGCACATATTAATAATTATGTTCTTTATTTCTAAATCGTTTCTAAAAATTATCATGTTTATTTATTTATTTTTCATTTGTTCCTGGTTTAAATTACATTTGAAATCAGATCATTTCAGTGTGACATCAGACTTTTGGAGTTCACTGTAATCTTTCATTAGGTTTTGGGGTGAAATATGGCCAGATGTGTTCTTGTCAGATGTTATGACATTCTGACATTCAGCTATCTGCTAAATTTCTTTCATTGATTGTAGGTTTGCACCATGGTCTTATACCAGTATTAGGAGTGTGTTCTCAAAGTCCCCCTAAATGTCCTGCGATAATAAATGGAATGAAAGGAAACGTTGTGCAGCGTCAGTGCTTTTAGACTGAAGAGCTATATCACTTTAGAGCAGAGAGCTAATATTGAGAAGAGACTGAAGTCAGGAGGAGATAATGTAATGAAACCTCCGGGTCACATCACTTTAACCTGCTCTTTTCTTCATAAATGAAACCAATGTTGAATAAGAGCCTTCTTCATGATTCTCATCTCAATCATATTTGTGTCCTTTTTCTCCTGTAGTTGTCATTGCCCAAGTTTGTTTTCATGTCTCATGTGAAGAGGTTTAAATCATCTCAGCTCTAAGTCCGTGTCATCGCTGTCACAGACTTCACTTTGTAATTTTCATCTTGCAAAATTACCTTTTATAAAACAAATAGCTCGAATGAAAAAATCTGCTTGGACAGGCCCTGTTCATTGTTTTTACATTTATTCATTTAGCACAGTGTTTCTCAACCCTGAGCGCCCCCCCAACACTGCACATTTTGTATGTCTCCCTTATGCCGAGTTCACACTGCACGATTTTCAAACTCGTCGGGTCACCGTTGTTTTCACACTGCGTGACTATCTGTGGTAGCATTCAGTTGTTGCTGTGTTCACACTGCAATCATCGACAGCTCCAGATATTTAGCATGCCGAATATTTCATGGGCGTCGGCAACGTGTCGGCGATTCCCTCAGATCGCGTCTTTGATAATTCACACTACGTGATTGTCACTCGCGTGAACGAGCACCGATTTGCCTCCGATTTCGGGCATTTGTTGGCGATTTCGCAAAACCTGTCGGCGAGTGAAAAATCGGGCTAAAATCGTGCAGTGTGAACTCGGCATTATCTGACACCCATTTCAGGTCCTGTTTCTCAATTTTTATAATTGTTTATGCTTATAAATATTATGCATATTTAGTAATATAATAATAATAATAATTATTATTATTATATTATTACTATTTTATTGTTTATGCTTATAAATACTATACTTATTTTCATATAACTATTATTATTATTATTATTTATAATAATAATAATAATAATAATAATACATGAAACCCCTGCAGTCTCAGATGATCTGTATCTGTTTTTGATTCGATATCTCCAGGCTTTCTTGTGAATCGTAATGGTTTAGCTTTATGGCTGGGCTGGTTCTCCAAACTTGTTTTCCTCAGGCTTGATGTAAAAGCCAGCAGTAAGTGTCAGAGACGTGTGTGCTTAAAGAGCACAGCCTAACCCCGGCTATCAAGAGTCACGCCTCGTCTCTCATCTGTCTGTGTGACTCTGATGAGCTCTGCTTTGATCCTGCGGTGAGATGTGATCAAGAGTAGAGAAAAGCCTCTTTTAACTTGCCTCTTTACAGGTTCAGGGTGTTTCTGATCCTGTGTGTCAGAGTGTGTGATCATGCAGGTTTGTTTTGTGGTAGATGAGATGAGTGTGTGATGGTGTTTGTCAGGAAACTGAAGTCATAATAATCATACATATATAAAAAAAAAAACACTTTACAATAAGGTTCCGTTAGTTAACATTAATTAATGCTTTAGCTAACATTAACTAGCAATGAGCAATACATTTGTTACAGTATGTATATAACTTTGTTAACATTACTTAATAGAAATGCAACTGTTCATTGTTAGTTCATGTTGCTCAGTTAAAATTAACTGAGATTAATACATTCTTTATCAGTATTTACCATTTTTAGTTAATGTTAACTAAAGTAGCGAACTAATATTATATAGTAATTTTCAATATAAAGTTTATATATTTAGTAGTTTTGAAAAGATTATTTTCAGGATTGATTCTTGTTAGATTCTCATCACTGTAATAGAGTATTTTAATTTATTTTTATAAACGTGTTTTTTATATAAATATATAAAAAAAAAAAATATATATATATATATATATATTTATTAAATATATTTTTTAATTTGATATGAATTTTACATATATTGTTAGGAAACAAATATTTTTATTTATTTATATATATATATATAATTAGGCTTCATTTACATTAAACAAAATCTATTTCCTTTCTTTCTTTTGATTTTGGGGTGAAATATGGACGTGTTTTTGGCTGGTTTTGTGAGTTCATCTAGTGGCATTTCAGTGATCAGTGACATTTTGAGCCGTGCAACATGTTCACATCGACTCGTTAAAGAGAAATCAGACTCTAGTTAAGAAACCCAAGCAGCTGCCGCTCACTCGAGCTCTGGATGTTTTCTCTTCCATCACTTTGACTCTATTATGTGGTTTTCTTCACTAGCAGCGTGTGCTTCATCAACTGTGTGTCAATATTCCTGCTCATTAAAGCTGTCGTCAATTTAAACAGACAAGACATCTCTCCATTGTTCATTTGCAGTCTATAGTCTAATACCTGGTTATTATTACTAGAAACCTATTGTTATTGTTTTATGACCTGATAGCATGTATTTATGCATATTTTTGCAATTTTTAATACAATAGCTAATCTTTTAAAAATGACAGTAATTATGCAACAACAACAAAAAAGTTAATTTACCTGTGCACACCAAATAAGTAGCTAATTAAAAATGGAAATATCGGTGTCTCTGGTTGTGCTTTTGAAAAATAATTTCTTGTATCATATCAGTTTAGTGAAATGTGAACATAAAACAAAATTTTTGCACCTGTTTGCTCTTATTTGCAGTGTGTTGAGTTTTCATTTAAATGAAGGATTAGATGTAAATTAGCTCAAAAGGAAATCATGTTTAAGATTTCAGCGAGGAAGAAGGAAATGAGGAAGCGATAATGATGCTGACATTTGCATTCTGTAGGAGATGCATCTCTATGTGCTGCTACACGACTTAAACACTTACTCTGTGTGTTTTCATGCTTTTCTTTTTTATTTCTCTTGTTCTCAATGCTTTGATAAATGACGTCATGGCCATAGCACTGAAGAAAAATCTGTATTTATTCATTTATTTATATCATAAGTTAATATTTAAAAATGAAATATTGTTTTCAGTAGTGATTCTTATTACTGTAATATAGCTTTTTTTAATGTTTAATATTTTTAGAAAAAAAATATATATAAAAAGAATATAAAACCTCTATAAAACAAAAGCATTTAAGTACTTAATGTATACATAATGCAATACAATATTTTTTCTTTTTAGCATTTTGTCTTATAACAGAGATCCAGAATAAATTTAAAACTGTAAGTCAAAACTGTAAATATATATTTTTTGGCATTACATTAAAACTTAATTGGTGTAAAATGTTCCTAAATTGCCGGTACGAGACTCGAACCCACAACCTTTGGGTTACGAGTCCGACTCTCTAACCATTAGGCCACGACTTCGAAATAATGTCACAATGAAAAAAAGGCTTTATTTTCTGTTAAGTAAATGTTCTTATTTTGTAAGTATATAAAAATATAGTTTTATAGTAAAATATAATTGCGTTAATTCAAGTTTATTTGTACAGCGCTTTTCACGATACAAATTATTGCAAAGCAACTTTACAGCAAATGAAGTTTCTACAATATTTAGTGGTAGCTTATCAGTGGTGACTGT